CGCGCGCACTCTGTCACCCTCTCGGTTTCCATCTCGTTTTTGCTCGGGGCCCGTTCTATGTTTCGGTAATCGCGATCGGCCATCTATGGCCACCGTGTGCATCGGGTGACCACAAACTGCAGCTGTATTTTCGGTTATCGCCGATCGCCGATCTGCGGATTTTCGGTTTTTACCAGGGATAAAGAGAGAGAGAGAGAGAAAACACCGGACGCCTCGCTTTTCTCGTCCCCGCTATCACACTTTGCTTTTTACCACTAACTACAACATTATTCGGCGCCCTTTTGTGCCGCTCTTATAAGGGTTTTCGTCTGGTTCGCGTGTCACGTTTCCGAAACGCGTGCTTTACGTCATCCTGAGACGGAGAATTCGCAGCCTCTTTCGTGGTATAAACAAACTACTCATCGCAAGTTTAACATAATTCTTTGTCTTTTTTTTCAAAACACACATCTCATTCTTAATACAGAGAAGGTAAATAAAAATTTGAATGCAATGAAAACAGACAAGAGATATAAAACCTAGTTCACAGCATGTCTTCCTCGCGCAACGGATGCGTCAACTTCGTCCTCCGGGTCTTGCATCCTTTTTCTCTCCGCGGGAAAAATCTTCCGTTAAAAATTCCCCCGCGAACGATAGAGAGAGGAGAATCGTATGAGGGCGCGAGGGCGAGCGTTAAGCAGCTGTCGCCCATTCGGCGCCATTGTCACGCGATGTTTGAGTGTTCCCGAACAGTGGAGAACGGGCCCGGTATTGTCCGGACTTCTGAGATCCTCGCGATTACTAGGCTACGCGCGATACCATCTCATCTGCATTGGGGCGTTCGTCTCTCTCTCTCTCTCGTTCCTTCTGCATCTATACATAAATACGCGTGTCTACGGACTCCCTCCCTCCTGCCCCACCCCCTTGCCTGCCCCCGTGAGAGAGGAAGAAGACGTCTTCCGGTCAAACATCGCCCGGAACGAATTTACATGTCGAGATTGCGCGAACGACCCAGTGTAAACCGCCACGACGAGATGTCCTTATTAAGCCGCGTCGTACCACGTGGAAAATTTGCCGACGAGACTCGTCGCCGCGAAATGGGGTGCGTGTCATCGCTTTTGTACCCGGTCCGATGTCGTTTGATGAGATCTCGCTGCTTGTCGCTGCGAGATTGCTCTCGTCATGTTTGTGATCTTTCTCGACCGTGTCGTAAGATCGATTTTAGAGAGAGAGAGAAATAGAGAGAGGCTTTAATAAAAAAATCTCCCCACATCCTCTGGGGAATAGATTATGATGTTATTAAGGTAACACGAAAGATGCTCCAGAAAGTCATGTTTGTAAAGTATATAGCTTTAAAAATGAAAATACTCCGGTATGTGTACATATGCTCTTAAATATGTGTATACATGATGTGTCGAGAATTTTCATATATTCCTGAGTTCTTTCCAAATTGAAATTCTACTTTCGATATCAATTTTCAATCTAACATCTACTTTGATATTTTAAGCACATTCAGATCACTCTTTTTTGAAACTATTTAATCTATAATTTTGCCATGATATTTTTTGAAATTTTAAATGAGAAACTATTTATTTGAGATATAACGACTTTAAGTCTCTTATAAATTCTTATCAAAATCTTTAAAAATTTTTTCAAATATAAAAAAAAATTAAGGTTGAAAATAGAAGCAAAGTGTAGCTTTAAAAAGTGCATAATTATGCACGTCCAATGACTTGATCGCAATTTACAAATAAATATATTTCAAAGGGTAGAGGGAGAGAAAAACAGAGAGAGAGATCGACACAATGAGAACGTGATGCATTTTGTGAAAATAATGTCTCCTTTCTGCCGGGTGGCAGTTTATAAATGTATGCGTAGGCAGAGGCATCGTTTTCCGAGAGATGCGAGTGTGATAAGCTATCGGCATTATGCAGCCGCTTATAAAAACTCGATTGTCGTCGAACGGGCGAACACAGAATTAATCTCGCGATCGGCTCCCTTTTTTTCCGGCCGGTATATATATCGAAATGTTTTCTCTGCGAGAAATAATGCTGATTTATACGGCCCGTGTTAATTCGAGATCGCGCGGTGATTGCGAGATCGTAGTGTAAAAAAAATTGTATTTTTCGAAAACGTTCGATAGTTCGGCGGAGAGTTTATCTGATTCGCGCCAGTTATACATCCGGTTTCCGCGAACGTGTTTCTCCAAGGGCCGTTATTAAATTTTTAATAACGTTCCCTCGTAATCCCTCTAATGCGCGGCGGAGCGAGACGACGCAATGAAATATATATATATTCCCGATAATCGGCGCTTTTGTCCGTTTAATTTGTTGCTTAGAGTCGAAATTTTGTTTGTTTGTTTATGGATTCTAGATCTCTCTCGATTTAATTTATTTTATAAAATAGATAAAAAGTTTATACATATATACATTTTTATTATAGCATATATAGATTTATATTTATTTTTAATACAGATTTATAATTTATTATAAAAGGATCATATATAAAAATTGAACTTTTATTTTAATATCTTATACAAACACGAATAATATAAACGAACAATTTTCTATTTAAAAATCTAAAAGAGAAGCTTTCGACAAATATAGACTACATAAAAATTAAATGATTTTAAGAGAAAATAATATAACTGCATCAAAATAAATATTATTACGATTCACACAGAGGGTGGATTAAAATCGTTGAATCTTTCGTCTCGATAATCTATTATGTAGCGATTTTGGCTCATTTGGACTCGCAACGGGCAATCGCCCGAAAGGGGTAGAAAAGAGTTAAGCGGGACGATATTAATTGCGACGCACCAAGACGCGATAACTCATCGACGTCCTGTCAGCGATCCTTTCCGCCTCGGTCGACGTCAATTGCGCGTCAAGGAGCCGAGTCGACGCATCTGCTTTTCTCTCCCCACGGGAGCATTTTTTCGGATTTCTTGGGACACGGCCTCGTTATGCACGCGTCGGCGAGCACGCGCGCATAAGGAAAGATGCTCTTTCTCGACGCAAGAAACAAACTAATATTCTCGGAACGCACGATGCAACGCTTTTATTAACATCGAGGCGTTTGGCGAATGTATGCGAATGCCACCGTGAAGTCGATAAAAAGAAACTTGGAACAAAGCTTCCTTTTACACATATATTTAGTGACGATTAAATATCTGTTTCTCGTTTTTTCCTTTATGACACGTATTGTCATTAATTTACGATGCAACAATCGAAAAAGATATTATTTAGAAATCTATTAAAATTTTCAGTGAGAATAATTTTAAATTGAGATATTGAAATTAAGGAGATTTTTAATATTATATTAAAATTTTTAATATATTTTTGTATTTATGCGTGGATGTACATAAATTTTCGACGATAGACTTGAAATGAATGGAATTAGTTAATGTTTTTGTTTTTTCCCTTCTTTACAGACATGTCGATAAGATACATAATTAACGAAAGCATTTTAATAAGACAGAAATAATGTTTTCTTTCGAAAAATTAATCCAATCTTTAAAGCGAATCTTACGGTGATGATGAGCAGAGCGTATGTATACATAAAAGACGAATTTTCAAAAAATTCTGCAAAGTTAATTACAAGTAAATTGATCATTTTTTCTTTAAAGTATTACGCTTATTTTATTCAACGTGGTCGGAACAGAGACCAATGCAAACGATATGTCGATCGAAAAAAATCGGTGGCCGCGATTTTTCACAGTTTTTTCACGCGCGAGGAAAACCAATAATCGGCGACGAATGAAATTTCATAGGATTTAGTTCGCGCCGGCTCTTTCGATACGTCTCGCCGCATTATCGTTCCTCGTCCGCGTATAACCACGGACGCACAACAGGTACACGTTGATATTCACTCGCTCGACGATGCAGCAGCGATTCGCACGCGCGTATCGAACGAGGAGAGGAAGGCTTCAAAATCGATTAGCGATTCGCTATCGCGGGCTCGCGCGCTACCGATTATTTAATCGGTCACAGTATCGATCCGATCCGATTGACGACGTCTCTTCGACGAGTCTTTAAGTCTTTATTCGTTTTCCTGCAGTCGCGAAACACGCGTGCGAAATACTCCAGATTGAGAGAGATACTCGAAAAGACAAATCGTTTAATTCAGGGATACGTGTATCCCTCGTGTCAGTTACATGGTAAGTCTTTCTAATATATGGGGATCACACTAATGATTGAAAGTAATCATAGCTAGCGGTTGATTAGATCGACAGCTAGTTCATTAGATTAAGATGAATATTTCAAGCCTGTAGCCTGTTGGGCATAAATAATATTTGCGTATATTTTTCTTTAACGATTAGAGAGAGATTATGTGTTAATTAATGTGTTAAAAATTTTTAATCACGACATTTTGCATTAAGTGTATTGATTGTGATTGAGCAACTATGCGATTCGTACTTTACATTAAATAACTTTTTTTAATAAAAAGAAATAACGTATTTATTTACAGAGTATATTTAATTAAATTGGCAATAAAAATAAAGTCTACATACCATATATGTGCTTGTATTATATGTATTTACACAGATTTTATTATTGCTTCTTTACATTCACGTGTTTGTATATAATGCTACTATGTTATTATTAATTTTGTATTTTTAAATCGCGAGTATATTGTAAAGTGAATTGTATAATATTTATTTTCGCGATATTGTGGTTCATAACCAGCGCAACATAATAAATTCAATGTGTGACAAATAATGTACCTTGAACTCGGTGCGAATATTAATTTCTTATCGGTGTTGTGCGTTTTTATTTCGTGGCTAGTGTTCGCGTCGTAATAAAACGCAGGCATAAAGATTCAAGACAATAATGTCACAACTGAAAATTAACATTGATTAGTACGTACAATCAATGATAGAATTATAAGTAGCATTTATTTATTAACTAATATAGAAAAATACATTTATTTATTCTTTTTTTACTGAATAAATAAATTTCAAACAGCTTTAGAAAGAAAAGAGAGAGATCGCAACTGGATTGTAACTTGATATTTTTCTATAGATGGCAAATGTGAGGAATGCAGTTTTGGATTATGTGGACTGCATTTCGGAAAGGAAAAAGGTCGTGTCGCTCAAACGTCGACATAATACTGCAAATCTCCGAATCTCGTTTCGAATAAACTGGATCGCGATACTGACCATAACGATGTCAATATTACTCTGTCAATTCGCAGAATCTGTCGCTGAACGACAAGCATCGGTGAGAGCGTAAATAAGATAATATTTGCAATAAAATCTTTTTAACATAATTAACACAAGTATCGGCAAGAAAGCAAGTAACATTAATTACATAATGTTAATTTAGTTGAAATATTCTTCTAGTAAATTAAGCAATAATTAATAATAATCCATAATAATGTCACGAATATTTATTTTCTTTATATCGAATAATTTCTCAGTACGAATCTGACAGATGATGAATCTAAGTATTAAAACTCCTCTTTGCATTTGTTCTATCGCTTGATATTAGAGTTCACACGGAGGAAGAAAGCATTACGCTCATTGCGCGAATCGACGGATAGGTCCTAGCCTGCGAAGGTCGTTGACACCAGTCAAACACACCTTCCAAAGCGTCGCGGAGAATACAACTGACATGTCGCAGGACATTTTATCGCGTCTGGAGGCCGCTGTAGTTTTACGAGGCAACCTGATCACGGCGTTAGGTCGCGTACTTTTGTCCTGTCTCGACGACGACGCGAGGGTACCCTTCGAACTCGTCCACGACACCGTACGAAATCGCCAGGTTGCCGTCTACGAGCTGCTGCCGATCGTGCCGGCGCTTCAGAACAAGCTGCCGAAGCAGCAGCTGTACAAGCTCCTGCAAATGCTGGAGCGAGTCATCGGCAATCGCTTCGTCTCCGAATACGCGTCGCTCTGCATAAACGTCTTCCAAGATATCAGCGCCGTCGTGGAAGAAGCGTCGCTCGCCGACATGTTACTGAACGTGGACCCGGACACGATAGAGTCGATTTCTCGGGATAAATACAGACCTTTGTCTCTAACAAGGGACATTACCTCTCTATTGCAAGCGGCTAGCAACGATACTGCGATATTGAATCTGCGTATAGTGGCGGCGATATTGGAGAATTATCCGGCGTTCGATCTGACGGATCCGGAGGTTCACGACGCTGTTACTTTCGTCGCGGAAAGAATGAGGGAACGTTCGCGCGAGGAGGATTCTTTATTGCGATACATAGAATCGAAGCTGGATGACGTGACGGATTTTCTGAGAACCATCCTCGAACGTCTGGAGATGGACAAGTTGTCGTCCAAGGCAACCCAGGAAGCGATCTCGCTGCTGCTTCAGAATCTCGATGCGGAGTTTTATTCATTTACCGCCAGATGGAACGATCCGAGGAAGCTCTTGATGATTACGAGCAATGATTATCCGGTTGACGTCACCGCCGTGGCGAAATATCTCGCAGATAATCTCAACGATTCGCTTCTTCAAGATCTCGACATCGCCTTCTACGAAACGGACGGTCACGCTCTTCTGCAAATGCTGTCGCGTCTTCGCAGAAAGTCCGGTCTACAGCATCTGAGTAAACCTCTGTCTTTATTGACATCTTTCGTCTCGCAGAAATTGATATACGATGACAATTACGCCTACACAGCACCGGTTAGTCAATACGAGGTGAACAACTATATGGATTCCTTCGACACTCCGTGTCTGCAGCAAAACATAAGTGACGCGATGGAAACGTTACGACCCCATCTATCCAAGGATCTACCGTGGACCTATGCCTTCGGAAATAGACTGGTGAGTGACAATCCCTGGGAATTAACGTTACTCTCGTTGAGTCGTTTGAGGAACATTCCGATCAGCAAGCCGCGAGCGATCGCCATCGATAATTTCATCTACAAAAATCGCGCTCTGACTGGTAGACGGAACCCGCTTTATGACTTCGGCATTATCTTTCAAAGAAATGACTCGACAGACGTGGAGGTCGATCTGTTTTCTCTACTGACGCGCATCCCGAACGCTTTCAGAAGTGAGAAATTTGCTCCCATGCTGAATTTTCTGTCCAAGCCGAATATCCTCGACATCCTCGGCTACGGATTTAATAAATTTAAATACGATACTCCCAGAAGTTTATTGTTAGCCGTGCTGAAGAGAGCACTAACGCTCGCTTCTGTGAGATTCGACGAGTCTCTATCCGAAGCTCTTCAGAAAGCCTGCAACTACCTGGAAGAGCCGCTATTAATTAACATGTACACCTCGGAAGGTCTGCAGCTCCTTTTGAAGCATTTACCAGGTATTGAAAGTGATCCGCGATATCTGCCGCTCAAGATACTCTTCAAGAAGAAGAAGCTGTTTACGTATTTATCGCCAAACTTTAGCCTAGCCGGAGTGCACTCGCCGATGGAGAGGCTTTTATTGATATTACGGACGGTGAGTTTGAAGAATGATCAACCGATTCTCTCCGAGGCGCTGCAATTCACTCTCGAAAACATTGGCGGATCACCGCTGCCGATCAAATCTTTTGATCGAGTCGACTTCGTCTACCTGATTCAGCAACTGTTGTCGCGCGATAGTACACTGCAGAATGAAATCTTGAACTCGACGGTGTATACGAAAGTAGGCGAGTGGAAAATCTCCATCGGCGGCACGCCGGAAACTATTCTCGCTAAAATTCTCAGCTATCCCGTTAATGATATCGCGTCGGATGGGCATCTGGCTAATATTGTGACGCAGGCGATGAGCATTCTGGAAGAAGATCTGAGGAACATCGAGATCTTGAAGAAGCAGATGTTGGAGGAAATGCTGGAATATCTGCCGAACAATACGTATGCGAAGCCCGTGATTCTATTGCTGAAAAAATCGAATCTGATGACGCTCGTGCCGGATTTAAATCTCACAATGTTGGAGGAGGTCAGCCCGCGCGACGCATTAATTATATTACTGAAAAGCTTCACCGAGTCTCGCGCGATTCGCGCGGAAAAGCTGCTGCTGAGACGCATCCGGGCAGCATTGAGTTTCTTGGACGGCAACGATCAGTTTCATCAGACGCCGATTTATGCTTACTTGTTTCAATCGTTGCAGGATCCGAACAACGTTGTCTATAAGCCGCTTTTACGACAAGTAAGCGAGTTGCAAGTGATAATTTCGCCCGACGAACGACAAGATTGGTTGGAGAAATATCTCGAAGAGATTGTCGTCAAAAAGAAAACGAAGCTGTCGAGAGCCGCGTTGATGGCATTGAAGGAAATCAGATACGATGAAAATTCGGACGAAGAGTCACGCGCTAGTAAGACGCGAATCAAGGAAGCCGTGTTATTCCTGCCTGACGAATCCTTCGCCAAACCACTGCAAAAATTACTGACGCCAGAATGGGCGTACGATGTTCTGCCGGAGGAGCTCAGAAATTCGAATTCGCTGGAAAAGAAGGAATTATTATTGGAAATTTTACATCATGCGAAACGTCGAACCGATGTCATCGATAACCTCGCTTTAATGAGAATTATCTCCAAGGTCGAGACAAGATTGAATGGATGGAAAGCGGAAGTCGAGAAACTGAAGAGCGCCGTTTCCGCCGCGAAAGCAGCCATTTACGATCCCGTGAAAAATCTTCTGACTGCTACAAGACTCAACAAGATTAAACTCAACGTGCCTCTCGGTAAATCAGCCAAGGCATCGCTGCTGGGACTATTGCATCGTCTGCTGCAGCATCCTGTGATCACGCAAAACAACAAGGTCTTCGAAATGTTGAGCGCTATTAGACAGGACGTTTTCTCCTTCGGCGTGGACGTGGACTTGTTGACCGTCCTCGACGACGCGGGAATCGCTTATACTCGCGAGCTCGCTCCTATCAGATTGTTCCTGCACAGACGAGATTTCAATGAAAAATTCGGAAGTACTATTTTCACGATTGCGGATCCCGGGAAACGTTATCGCACCTTATTGAACATCCTGCAGAAGCAACGCCAGATAAATAACGACACGCGATTCCATGACGCGCTCTCGATATTGAGGAATATTGATCCCGTCAGCGGAGAATCCGCGGGTACTTTAATTTCGGATCTCGACGACGTAGTCAACTCCATCCCGCATCATGTCAGACAACAATTCAAGTCGATCGAGCAACTGTTCAGCGTCAACGTTCTGTCTCGTTTCACAGGTGACAATGAAATTGTCGAGTCGAACGCGCCGCTAACTGTTCTGTTATCTAAGATAGCGAATCTGCCGGAAATCCGCGGTAATCGTACCGCAATGCATGAATTAAAGAAACTGCGATCTAAAATCAAGCAGTTAGACAATCATTCAATCATCACCGGTTATCAACTTAGACCGTTGTTAGTGGAGCTCGAACATGTTCAACAAATAAACGTAGACTATCTTAATTTCATCTTAGATTCTGAAGTATTGAGTTATCTAAATCCAGAGATATTCTCCGACATGTTCGAGGATAGTATCGAAATACTCGGCACTATCGTTGACTATCTGTTGTACGAAGAAACGATGCACAGCGATTATATCGTGCGAAAACATCTGCAGTCCTTGAAGAATGCTTTGGCGTTTACAACGGGCTCCGGGAAGACGTCCTCGAAGAGATATTTAATGAAGAAAGACTGGGAGCAGATGCTGGTCCTCATACCTCGCAAGAGAAATTTCACGCCCATCAAGATCTTTCTGCAATCCGAAGAGATATACAAATACATTCCCAAGGACACGAATTGGAACCTATTTTCCACTCCGGACAAGAAACTGCTTCATCTATTATCGTTAATCGAAAGCAGCGACATTGAGAATAAAAATATCTATAGGTCGGCAAACGAGTTGCGCGACAATCTCGAAAATCGTTTTAATTTTATCACCGAACGGGATATTAAAAGCATGCATCGTGCCTTAACGAGTCTCAAGCTCAATTACGATCTAACTCCGCTCAAGATATTTTTAAATCATGATACACTAATCAAATATTTGTCGCCGGACTTTAATTATACCAAGTATGGCGCGTCGATTAATGGCCTCGCCGCCGTGCTCGATAATTTTTTGCGGTCTCCCAGTTTGAAGCACAGAACGACTCTTTATGAAACCATGAATTTCGTAAGAAAATCAATTCGCGAACAAGTTAACTCGGGGAGGCGATCGTCTCGCAAGACTTCTCACGACCAGCTGTCCAGCGAGGATCTCGAATTTATCAGTTCGTTAAATATTTCCCAGCCGTTACGCGAGTTTTTCAAGCCTAAAAATCTGCTGACTGTATTGCCGCGATCATTTACCTTGAACAACCGACTGACATACAAGACGAAAACGTTGCATTTACTGCGACAACTATTGCAACTGAATAACAAGGACATTTATTCGGAATTACAAAGACTTGTCCGCGAAGTAGAGACATACCCCGACGTTCCAAACATCGTACAGGATGATTTGACGCCGCTCCTGAACGTAATTCCCATCGAGGGAATACCTTACGTTAAGCTCATCAAGAAATATTTGAAACCTGTAACGTTAATCAAGTTGTTACCGGGATATTTCAATCTAAAACGAATGCTTAACGCTAAAGTGGCGTTGCATAATCTTCTATCGCTGTTGAGGCTAACTCTTGGATCCGCGATGAGCGACAAATTGAAAACAGCTCTCGATGCGCTCATAAGCGAATTAGCGAAGGTTAGCTCCAATGTAATACCGGAGGAGGCGGTAGTCGACAGCAACGAAATCAAATCTATCGTGGAGGAAATTCCGTTCCAGCAATACAAGCAGATCGAGCCGCTCAAGGCTCAGATGACGACCGCGAAAATCATCTCGTCCTTGCCGACGAATTTCCAGTTGACCGATTATAAGACGAAAAAACTTCGAGTATTGGCGGTTTTGAACGAGTTGTCTAAAAGCAATGTATTTCAGCCCTGGCAGGAATCCATGAATTTTGCGAGAAATATCATCGGGAAGATGCCGAACGCACCTGCGGTGAACGACACAGAAATCGAGAGGCTGTTACTGCCGTTGCCGTTGAGCACGTATAACGTGGAGCTGCTCATAACAAACTGCAAGTTGGCCAAGTTGATGCCGTATCTGCCGATCCACTTCGATTTCGCCGACCTAGGCTCGCGAAAGATGAAACTCGCCAAGATCATGCGCTACTGCAAGAAGGCTTATCCCATGGATATGAGCACGAAACAGGCGTTGACCAACGCCGAGGCGACCTTGAACATGGCGCCCGACATCGACATCACGTCGGAACACGTGAGAGTCTTGATACGAGCGATTCCATGCGTTCATTTCACTTTGATCAAACCGCTGCTGCGGTTCCTGTCGATGACGGACATCTCGTCGCTTCTTCCTTGGGACCTCGACGTCTACCGTGCGTCGCGCACCTTCAAGCTGCGCGTCCTTGATCTACTGGCTGCTCTGCGAAACGTCAAGGAGCTGCAGAGCAGCGAGATGTTCTCCGCCCTCGATTACTTGGAGACGAACACGAAATCGTTGCCGGAGCAGGTGGAAATTCCTCAAGATCGTATAACGGTTCTCAATCAAACGGAGATCATGAATTTCGCGCCGTGCGCGAGCTACCGGGATTTCGTCTTGAAGACCGAGAATCTCATTCAAATATTGCCGTCGAATTATCGCTTTCGAACCAGCTCGACGACCGTTCACAACGAATGGGCATTGATTACTCATATGTCGTCGTTGTTTCTGCGCGACGTGCAGAACGGTGCCATGACGAACGCTTTCAAGGCCTGTATGGATAATAAGTTGAAACACGACAAAGAACAGTTCAGCCAGCAGATAGTTGCCGATTTAAATAGTATGTCGTACCAGCAATTCCTAGCACTAAGAATATACTTCATAAGTCACGATAACGTTCTGACCGCGCCCCTCGACGTTTATCGCAGCTTCTTCCAGGGAACAATACAAGCCATGGTCCGCGTGATAATGAGAGAATTTATCCGTAGACCGGAATTGATCGGGAGTAAAGCGGTGATCGACGACATGGAAGTGTATCTGCACGACACTGTGATGTTAAAGATTGCGCAAGATCAGACCAAATCTTACGACGAGCAGTTGACACCGTACGACGTCGATCTGGCCATTGCTGAGATCCCGAACGATCACAAGTACGACGATCTCAGAGTACTCATGCGATGCCAAGAAATACAGCTGCCAGTCGTGCAGAAGACGTTATTGCCAGACGACACGCCGAAACAGTTGCTTATGACCTTGCTAGAAACGACCGAGAAAGATGACCTAGACAAGAAGATACGACGAAGCATCGAGGCTTTGAAGCCAATTGTCGCGCAAGCTATTCGCGAAGAGGAGGTGGAGCTAGTGTTGAAACAGATACCTAATTACAGGTACCACACGAGCAAATTGCAAAATATCAGGAAATATCTCGCACGAGTCGGACTGCAGTTCGTCTTGATCAACAGCACAAATACTACGCTGTATCCCACCTATAACGAGAGTCTATACATGTTGAACGAGCATTTATTGAAGGGTGTGACCGATCAACCAAAGGACGACGAATTTAAAACCGAGTTAAACTACCTGAACAGTACCTTATACGATAATACTAAGGTCGAGCATATAGTATCGCGAACGATGAACGATATCAACGTGCAAGCACTGTTCTTCGCGTTGCCGAAGACGAAGGACGAGAGAATCATCCGCGGCATCATCAAGTTCTTTTCCCTTCCCGATTTGCTGCATCAACTGAACCTGCCCAAGAATCCTTTCGAGTACTCGACCAAGGGTCAACTCTTGCAGGCCATCCTGGATCTGGGCCAGGAGCTAACGAGCGTGCAACGGGATCCCGAACAACAGGAGGCTCTCGAGTACTTCAGGGACAAAATAATCACCAGCGGACCTGGCGCGCAGCCGCTCGAGCTGAAGAAGGACGCGCGCGATTCCAACATGGACGTGGACATGTATGGCCTATGGCGTGCCATCGATACGACAAAACATCCCGACTTGTGGAACGTGACGCTTCTCCTCCGGAAGTACGACAAGCTCGTGTACGCCATGAGTTTAGATCACATGACGTACAGCACGAGGGGCGCGTATCTGAAAGCACTGCTCGAGCATCTTGTCAACCTTTCCCACGTGCCGGACGAGGCAAAGGAGTGGATAAGGAACTTAATACCAGCGGTGAGACTGGACGGTCCTGGGGCCTCGGACGTCGATCTCAACGTGGATGTCGTTCACGAGGAAATGATCAAGCCGCAATTGAGGATGTTCTTCAACGTCGCACCTCGCAACTTCAAGTCTCGAGCTCTAGCGCCGAGCAATCGTTTCGGCGGCGAAATCGTCTCGCACTCTTTCCAGGAGAACAAGGAATCGCTGAAGGCCGCCGTCGATCACATATTCGATACCATATCGTCATCCGAGGAGGAGAATCTCTGGCAGACTTTCGGACAAAGATTCAATTCGACGCGAAACGAGAAAAATCCCTCTCGATTCAAAAAAACTACAACGAGCGGATCATCGAGCAAGCTCAACCTGAAGATCACGAATCACCCGAAAACGAAGAATATGAAGAACGATCGGTCGACAACATCGTCACTCGACGATATTCTCTTCAAGGTTCCCGTCAATAATAAGGCGGTGCAAAGAGAGACCGAAATTAAATCGGAAAATAATTCGAATAAAAAATCAAATAATCTCGACTATCTTGATAATGAAAGCGCTGACAGTTCGATTAAAGCGCGGAAAGTTAAATCTCTTCAGACACGGAAATCGCCATCCGAGAAATTGTCAAAGACGTCACGTAATCGAAAACGTCACGAGCTGATGTCCCAAAATGTTCTCCTCCAATCGGACACCAGTATCGACAACGAGGACGAAGATTTGAACGAAAGTGCCCCGATCGGCAGGATGCTCAGCGACATGTTGTTGAAGGATGAAGAGAATCGGTTTCTTATAAGGGAGTTGATAGAGGAAGCAAATATCGGCGAGAGGACGAAAACCGTGAAGAAAGATCTTAGCAGGCATGCGAGGAAAGAAAGGAGTGAAGAAGGAAAAATATATGAGAATCGATAAGGTAAACTAAATCTCTCGTCGAAAGGTATCGATACTTATCTCATTAAATTATCGCATTCTTGACAGACCGTATCAAAAGCGTGGAAGATAAGCTTGATTAATAATATTTGATAATATGAAATACACGAGCAGCAACGAGAGGGAATATTTTTGTCGATTAATTTATACAGGTTAAATAAATATTCTCAAGACAACTTGAAAAAATTTGATAAAAGTGTGATTTTTATTCTACAAACAATTTTATTTTTTACTCGAATGTATAATTATTCGCATAATTATTTAAAAATAATGTTATTTATGTAATATATATTGTCAATAAAAAAATATTGGAAATAGATAAGCCTCAACGAAATCCAACGATAATTAATTTTCATATATAACTTATCAATTAATATCGATAAGGATTTTGCAAGGATTAATCGATTGTTTATGTATTAGATATATATTAGGTCATATGTGTATTAGATACTCATCTAAGTAATCAAGTGTCACCATCGATACGATGAATCCTCATCACGTTTTGAAAAATCAAATCCAGATTAAAAACATTAATCATCACATACTCCAAGATTCTCGATTAGGTTCCGCTGATTAAAAGGTAGATTGCATACTCTCGAAATAGATTACTCGAGGTACTTTGTTATTCCTAATCAAGTTGCTCTATATAATATTCCTAGCGAAATAACGAAACTAATCATTCTGAGTGATGTTTTGCATCCCGGTAACTCTTGATTTTAAAACGCAATGTGTCGCACGTCGAAAGGGAGGAATCAACAACGCGTGCGTATATGGTACATATATAGGGGCGCGTACTTTCGACAAGAGCAGACGCGAAACGGGGAAACAGAGAGAAAGAGAGACATGGACCGTTTATGCACAGTACAGCGGTGGAAGGAGGCATGTGACACAGACGTCACATTAGATTTGGAGAGACTAGACGTGTATACCGGGCACAAACGTATCTCGCGGCGATCTCGCGCACCCCTTTCGTCCTTCTTCCTTTCGACCCCCCCGAGCACTTTGCTTTTCGGCGGCGCGCGGCTGCGGCTTCAGATACCGCGGAAGATAATCTAGAGAGAGAGAGAGAGAGATCTACGCCAAACAGCGTGAGCGGCTAAAACCCTTGCCCGGATAATATAGATAACATTCAGCCCAGTCTCCTCTCTCTCTCTTCCTGCTCGTGTCACTCCGTCTCTCTCTTTCTTTCTGTCCGAAGGCGGCTGAATTCAATAATGCGCCCGTGTGTACGAGGCCTGAATGAGGGCATTGTTGGCCCCTTGAATCAGTGTATACTCTCTCTCTCTTTCTCTCTCGCGCGCTACGATTCCCCGCGCGTTCAATCTATTTATCTCTTCATCTGAGTGTGTGGTTCCTGTTCTCCTTTATCTGGGTAAGGTGAACCGTCACACGAAACGTCCACTGCATATGCGGGATCGTCCTGCGGTTCCGCGAATGATTCTTTCTCGCGACAATACAATTGGGAGAGGAAAGCAGCTTCTCGCGAATTTTCATATTTTTCTCCTACAGAGAGAACATTTAAAAATTAAATTTATGTCCGCGATTGTGTTTCCTTATTTAATTATTACACCATTATTATTTCTGCGAAAATTCGTACAATTAACCGGCTCGTCTCGAGTCTTTAACACTTGGCTCATTTATAATATATTATTAACGTCGTATAATAACACGTTTCCCTCGACTTGACTAAAATTGCTTAGTCTAACGCCTTTAAGAGACCCTCGGCATCTTGAATCTCGCTATTTTCCCTCATGTAGCGGCGGTATAACGTTAAACAATTATGTACCTCGAACAAAATCTGATGGAACGGCGAAACGCTTTGAGCGATCATGGACCTCCTCTCTCTCTCTCTCTCTCTCTCTCTCGTTCCTCACGTTGATCACGAAGTTGCCTAAAGCGTTGCAATAAGCCATAAAGATATCGCGGCGGATACCGGTGTGTACGGCAAGCCCTTCCTTATAAAGATATGTGTATCCTGCATCGAGAATAATTATATAGACGCGTGCACACGGTCCGTAAACCAGCAGATTCGTACCGCAGATGCACCCTCGGTGCACCACGTTCTCTTCTCTTTCTCTCTCGTTCCTCTTCAATCTTATCGCGCAACTCGCGCGTTTATCGACGTCTTAACGATGCGCGCCTTCTCCCTCGTCAAGGAAGCGCAACTGCGAAGACAAGACGAAGGCACGAATTGAATTTTTTTTTTCAATTAACCCCGATGAAGAATATCCTGAAATCCTTACAACTATGTTCGATCAGCGTGTCAATGGAAATGTCGAATATTTTTATTTTCAATTCGGATTAAAAGTTATTATTTTTGTAGTATAGGTATTTCGATAAGATATTGCAGAGTTTTCAAATTCTCTGTTACATCATAATTTTATTTGCAATTAAAAATATATCATATTATGCCTTACGTTATAAGTTATACAATATATAGAATTTTTGTAATAAAAATACTTGCATTTTTGTGAACATAATAAAGAACAAATGAGTAAAATGTGTCGATGAGACTGGACACGCAGATCTGCGGTGCGTATAAAATTTGTCGAGCAAAGTGTCACCTTTGAAAAATTCATCGGACATTGTTCTCGCATTAATGATAACGATCAATGTCGGTTTGGCGCAGATGGCGATATCGAACGTAGACGGTCGCAGTGATACTTGTCGCGCAGGTGCATCAGGTGCGAGACACCTGAGGTAGATATTTAACGGCGAGTGTCCCGCTCGACTTATCGATGTCGCACGTTCGATCAACTTTAGATACGATAACGATAACCGTTCTTTTCGCTGATATCGGGCAAAATATCAAGAGAGAGAGAGAAGGGAGAGACCTGCCGACTAGAACTAGAGAGATCGCGAATAAGCAATACTTGTTTCCGTAATCAGCGTCTTCGTTTTGCTCCGGCAGCTTATATGTATAATTAAAGGCAATTAATGTATTACGAGGTAAACTCTCCGAGTCCAACGTAATTGCAAGATTACGTTAATTAAGCGACGACCTGCCTATTTCCATGACGGACGCTCGTAAATTCTGCACACGTCGTAAATTACCGGTACCCTTGTATATCCTTCTTCTCTCTCTCTCTCTCTCCACACTTGCCTCCGCCGATATCATTCCCGATACATACATTAAATAATAATTATATTAATGCATCGCCTATGTACACGCGATGCAGCGAACACGTGTGTTGCGACCGCCGTCGTCGTCAATTTGGAAAAGTCGCGAAGGAAAGATGGCAGAAAAGAGGAGTCTTTAGTCGCACGACCACTGTCGGATCCAACAATTCAGCTTCATCCGGGGCACGTGCTTAATACAGACGAAAGGGAGGTTTGTAATTCACGTTTACGGGAGAAAACCCGGAGGCGAAGCGAATCGTCGTCGTCGAAGGCATCTCTGTTTACAGGGCTTAACGCGGTACCTAGTAACAATGATGTCGCATTACGAGCACATTATGTTGGTGCGAACTCTTTTTGTTGACGGTGGATTATATCGTCGCAGTGGGAGTCGTCCCTTTCGTAGGTCCGAAAGGCGTACGGTAGGAAACTCGGGGATCTCTTAGGGAAACCTTTCGAGATAGAAAGAATAAGGTGGGACCGCGTCCACTCGACTATACCTGAGACAATGCGGCGTTTTCCAGTTTTTCGGTCAACAACGACACTATTCCGAATCTCGGGATTTCGCAGCAGCACAGATCGCGCGGAGAATCCTCCCCGAGGATTTCGTGATCCTACATCGGGATAAGGTCATCGTGGCGCCACGAAAAGCGTGCCCTTACAATTTATTTCCCGTATCTCTTCTCATATCACAAGTATATTTCGATATATGTGGGAGGGAGAGATCGATTTTTCGCTAGTGATTTTTTTACACGCGCTTTTATATTACGCAGTGACGCGTGGATCTCTTCGCGATAAATGTTGTTTCTTTATGATTAAGAAAGATTTTCGAATAATTATTAAAAATGGTAAATTAAATACTAAAATGTTGAATATAAAATTGTCACGTGCAATAATAGTGGTTTCCCGTATCTCTTTTCATATCACAAGTATATTTCGATATATGTGGGAGGGAGAGATCGATTTTTCGCTAGTAATTTTTTTACCCATGCTTTTATATTACGCAGTGACGCGTGGATCTCTTCGCGATAAATGTTGTTTCTTTATGATTAAGAAAGATTTTCGAATGATTATTAAAACTGGTAAATTAAATACTAAAATATTGAATATAAGATTGTCACGTGCAATAATAGTGGCACGATCCCTCGTGTTCTTGTCGGACCGCGATATTACCTGAGATAATATATATCTAACCTACCTTATGTCGGACACGAGACCTAAAAGTGTCCGGATTTGTCGCCGAGGATCGTAAAATCCCAACGAGATTTCGATCTTACGAGCGGATAACATCGCTGCTGCGGAGAATAATGCACGTTAAGCTCTCAGAGTCGACGGAACCAAAGATCTTTGTCTCCGCGACAAAGGAAACTCCGATTTGGCATATATCGAAGAATACCTATATACGTATGCGGAGGATGCGTTCCAAAACATCCGATTTACACAAGTCGATGCATCGAGAAGGACGCGGGAAGGTTAAAATTGAAATGTGTCGCGCGAATATACACGAAGAGCGGCGCTACATCACTCTCGCAAGGCTTATCCGAGAGTTCCATAGTTAAACCGTCGATCGAGCGTTTCTCCCACACCCCCGGAAGATGAACACCCCTTCATTCTCCTCGAGAGACGAAGCGCAGAAGGGAGTCGAGCGTGCGGGCCGCAATCGGCTCGCGCTTAATGGAGACATTGGTTATCCGTGTCTATTCTCTTTGTGCTTCCAATTACCTCTTCCCGTGAGCGCATTCGTGTTTGCGACACCCTCGTTGCTACGTGAGCGAAAGATGCGAAAACAGAGAGAGAGAGAGAGAGAGAGAGAGGTGAAAAAAGAGAACGAAAGAAAGTCGTATTGTCCTATCGGACGGAGGCTT